ATTATGACTTTATTTTTTTTCGACTTTAATGTCATAATATTATGACTTTATTTTTATACGACTTTAATGTCGTAATATTATGACTTTTTTCGCGTAATTTTAAAAATTTCTCGTTGTGTGGCCCTAATACTCCGTCGTAGAGTGCTGCAGGTTTTGTGAGACAAATTTAATTTAATTTGGAAGCCTTGTCAACACGGAGTGAATGGCTTCAGTCACTTACTCCGCTGCCATTGCTGAACTACAGGCAGACTAAAATGGTGCAAAAAATTGGACGTTGTCAATCACAACTCCTCCTCCTTTTAGCTGATTGGTCCTGCTGGAATTCTACCTGGGGAAGACCTTGTCCATGGGAGAAATCCCAGACGGAGCAGAGCAAAGATAATAGAATTGAGCAGAACTGTGAAGAAAGGCAAGGGCTGGGTTAATGGTTTCTGTGAGTTTTTAAAACCTTATTCATGATATTTTTTAAAGGTTTATATACTATATAATACAATTAATTACATTTTTGCATGCTAGAACAAACTTCATGGAGACCCCTTGGGGATTGAAATATTAAAGCCCTTTCTTGTGTTTGCTAAGCTACAGTGATCAGGTTTGCATCATGCAAACACTATTTTATAAATCTTTACATTGCCCTCAGTTTGACATTGTACATTTATTTACATAATAGTTACTTGCAAATAGCAGCAACAGAGACTAGCTGTAGCATTTCCTGTTCATTATGGAACATAGAAATATATTTCTGCCAAAATATCAAATCTGGTAGTAATGTAAAACATGTTAACATAAACTGCTATGATTTTGTTTTATTTTTTGTATGGAGTTGTTTTAAGTTACCATCTTGGTCCCACTCAGACTAGATGCTAACTTGTCAATTTGATCAAAGGTTGTCTTCACACCTGATAGTCCGTTAGACTCGGTTCGATAGAGGACCAAAACTGCAAGCTTTGTTTACGTTTTCCGTTGGTGCAGTTTGCATTCACACTGCACTTTCTCAACCGAACTAAACCCTGTGAACAACCTGTTCCCACCCTCACCTGTGGGGGTGCTGCACAAAGAACCACTAAAAAAAATCAACATGAAAAGTTCAGAAGAAGACATGGAGCGCAACTTCTTTCTTCACAAAATGTAAACAAACAATAGTAACATTAGATTTTATAAGTTATTGGGTTTATTTTTTGTTTTTGGCAAATGTGCTGAAAATATAGTCTTCAACAATGAGCTCAGCATGAGAGGAAGATGAGGCGGAACACGGAGATTATTGTTTTGCACACAAGGCGGCTGAGGAAGCTTCGTGTTAATCGAGTAGGAGCACGTCCAGCTCCACAGTCATGATGTCCACCTTATTCAGTCGTCCAGTGAGGTATTTACACCATATAAATAAATTTAATACTGTTATTACTCAGAATGTCATGTGGTATAGTCTGCTTCCTGCTTTTGGGGCGGTCTCTGGTTCGCTTGGCGTTCACACATTCAATCAAACTGCACCAGAGTTCGTTTCAATCGAACCAAGACCTAGGTTTTCAGGCGGAACAGAATTCGCTTTTTTGGTCCGAATCAGAGTTTGATTACGCGTTCGCACCTCCCCAAATGAACTGGACTTTCCAGACAAATGAACTAGGGRTCGATTAAAGCAGACTAAACAGTGCTGGTGTGAATACGACCAAAGTTTATTTTTGTAAACTGAAGCCGTTCAAAAGGCTTTCTACAACAGGTAAGATAATATTTATTAATAATACTTCCATAGAATCATACTTGAAGTAATATGAACAGTTCATTTAATTAAAACTAGTGCCAATAGAGAGGAAAATACTGGAGCAACAAGGAATTGTTCACATTTTAAAACTTTAGAACATAAATGCCAAATTCAAGGTCCACAACTCAACAAGTAAAACGCTCCTGTTTACTTTTAATAGTATTTCTGTATTATTTTGTTTCAGAGAACATGTTAAAACACTGTTTCTTTACAGGAAAAATCCATTTCCATCCATCCATCCATCCATCCATCCATTTTCTGTACACGCTTCTTCCTTTTCAGGGTTGTGTGGGTCATTGGTGCCCATATCCAGCAGTCACAGTGCGAGGGGCAGGGTACACCCTGGACAGGTCGCAAGTCCATCACAGGGCCACACATAGAGACAAACGAGACAAACAACCATTCACTCTCTCACTCACACCTAGGGACAATTTAGAGTTACAGTGGTTTGCAAAAGTATTCATATCCCTTGAACTTTTCCATATTTTGTCACATTACAACCACAAACATAAATAT